TTCTTCTTTCTTAAATGCTTAATTTAAAGCAGCTCCACTTGCCATGGGCAACATGTGAAAATGTTTCTTTGTATATTTGGCTATAAAATATAAGGACTTGGGCCTCTCTGGTGGCACAGGGGTTAAAGTCTCAGCGCTATCAACTATCACCAGCCACTGCAGCATGAGTTCAATCCCCAGCCAGAAAGCAGACCCACATCGCGCAGCAGACCTCTCCTGTCTTGCCTGCAGCTCTCCTCAGCAGTATATTTCAGTAGATCTGCCTGTTCTGTTCCCCACTCTGTCTCTGGTGAATCCTCTCACCCTCTGCACTTCTGGCCTGCACCCCAGTTCTTGGATGCATAAATGAATAAAAATCTTTAAAAATAAAATACAAGGACTTTTAAAAATACATAACCACAACCCTCACTACACTTAAACAGACTATAATTCTTTATGTCATCATCTATCCAGTCTTTATTTAAATTCCCCTGCTTGTCTCATAATATTTTTTCTGTTAGTTTATTCACGTTGGATCTGCGAAGAGTCTATAGATCTCATTTGTCTGTTTCATCTGGAATGGAGCTAGTCAATAGAAATGTCTTGGGAGCCATGTGTATCATTTAAAACTTTCTCACAGTCATTTCCAAAATACTATAAAGAAAACGTGAAATTAATTTTCATAAATGATATACTTAATATATCTAAAGGTGTCTTTTTAGCATGTAGTCAATTAAACATATTAATGAGCTACCTTATATATTTTTGTGATGCTAAGTCTAGAGATTTAGTATGTATTTACATTGAAAGCTTATCTCAGTTTGGATTAGCTACATGTGACTAGTGGCTGTTTTATTAGACAATGCAGGTCTAGCACTCACACCCCCCCCCCCCCAACCTTCTTTATTTGTTGAAGAAATGGGATCTCTCCACATTTGTTAATTCACATCGGGGATTTTGCTGATTGCATTCCTGGGGTAGTGTTCCTCTGTTCTGGGTATTTCCTGTAAATTGGTACTTGCTACCTGCAAGATTGATCAGATTATTTGATTTAGATTCAAATTCTTTATATTTCTGTTCTTGCTGTAAGAATGCTTCATAGCTGGATTCCATGAGTCCACTCCTTGAATTTTTAAACTGAGGCTCAGAGAGGTTGTTTTCCCACGGTCACTGAACTAGAATACAACTGAGGGTTGCATTCAGGAGGTCTGGCTGCAAAATTCATGTAACCACTCCTCATCATGAAATAAAAATCTCCTGTAGTCCAGTGCTTAATATTTCAGGGTGGGGTTTTTATGAAGGAGAAATAGATGGGATTGTGATAATTGATTTTTTTTCCAATTACTTCTTGAAATACCCCAGATCATGTCCTGCTTATAATGACTACTCTGTAATGAATTTTTGCAATTTAAAATAGTGTTCTAGGCGATGGTTCCTTAACTGTTTTGCCTTCCTGTGTTCTTCCCCAGCCTTATAAAATTCATCCCACAGCCCTCTTTATGCTCGCCACTGTTTTCATTAGATGATGTTTCTGTTTGCCTCTGTAGGATTGGTTCGTTGTAAACCCAACCACCACCAAAAGCTTTGAAAAGATGATGAAGATAAAGCAGCGGCAGCAAGAAGAAGAAAAGCGGAGGCAGCAGCACAGGAGCAGAAGGTCTCTGAGAAGGCGGCAGCAGCCAGCCAAGGAGCTTCCTGAGCCAGAGCTGAGTCTTAGTGTAGGGAAGGATCAGAGGAAGAATAATGAGGAACTGCTAGTGTCAGCCTCCTGTAAGGAACCAGAGCAGGAGTCAGTGCCAGCACAGTTACAGAAAGTAAAGCCCTCAAAGACTAACCATAAACGAGGAAGGAAATAGATAGTCAGTGTGAAAGTGCTCCTAGGAGAGTGGATGTGATGCTGTTGTCACAGGCACCTATGCTGGGAGGACTGGGTCATGGGGGCTGAGTGAAGAAAAATATACTCTTTCAGCTGTCTGTGTAGACTGTGACCTTCTCAGCTCCTTCCTCCTGTGTAAATTTCACTGTTTTCCCTTCTTATTCACTGTCACTCTCCCTTCTCCCCCCTCCCCTTTGGGTAGGTTTCTCTGATATTCCTCATTGAAGTCCTCTTGTTTTTCCTCTTACTGTGCCCAAAGTGTCCCCTCTTAAGGTCAACTATAGGCTCCTCTTGCCCTGTATAAGACTAAAAACCTTGTTTGATTGTCCTTTCCTTCCTGGGGTGTAGAATGTTCTTGGAAGCTCCATTGACTTAGCATTCACTCCATCATCTAGATTGTAAAGTAATTCCAAACCAATTTCTTAAAACCAAGGCTGATTTACCATTTTGTATTTGTGATATAATAAGCCTACAAGCTAGGACTGGTGTTGATCATGTAATAGGGTTACTGTCTCCTTGGGAAACAAACTTTATGGAGATTTTGTTATCTCAACATGACCCATGATTTAGGTTTGAAAGTAAGAAAATGGACTTAGGTTACAAAAGCTAGAATCTCCCTACATTGCTTTTGCTGGGATGCTTTGTCCCAAGAAGCAATGACTGACCTATAGGTCTGAAAAACAGCTTTAGGAAGAATGTGTTCTAAACGGTAACATGACTCGAAAGAAGAAAGTACAAAAAGCAATAAATACCACCTCTACTTTCCCAGGGCTTGAGGCTTCATCTGTTGCTATGGTCAGTGCCCTCCTGTAGCTTGTTTTGTTCCTGCGGTTTTAAGGATTGAGAAATACCACATTGGCTCTGATGTTTTGACACAGTACCCTAGTGTTCCTGATAGTACTGCTAAGATTGGTAGCCAAGGTGCACATTCCTTCTCCCCTGGACTTGACCTCACTTGTTAGTCTACACCCGCTGAATCCTATCCCACCCTTTAGCCAACCCTTGTCTCTGAATTTTCTGAGAATATTGTCCTCTGTGCCCTTTTATATGTGGAATTCTATCCTCTTTATATTCTGAGACTTTGGCACCAGATGTAGATATTTATCTGGAGTTGGAAAGAAAAATTCTTTTTTCTGTACCTCATGCCTGCCTGGTAATGTCTAATAGGCTACTTCTCTTTGAAGTTGACTTTTCGGAGCCTTGGTTAGAGCAGCTCTGTTGTTGTGTTTCTGGATTCTCTTCCTCTTTTTCATAAATATTGGTCTTATGTATTTCTGCGAATTTTTGTGGTATATGATACCACATGAAAAGCAAGGGCCCGTAGCCCCAGATATGGACAAGTACTACCTTTCAAATTCTGAGTGACTGTTACTACTCCTGAACTCTCTTCTCTGCACTCTTCCATATAGCTTTAAAATGTGGGCTTTTGTGAAGACCACTTTCAAACAAGGGAACATTAACACCTGATTTGAATACTGCCAGAATAGGTATTTTTGAAATGAGGATGTGGTATATCCTTTCTATATTTCATTGGCAGTTTCACCCTAAAGCCCTTTCAGTAGATGAGGATTGTCAGGGAGGAGAGATGAAGAAACTGTTAATTTCTGGTGAGTAAGACTTGGGAATGTTTGGCAATGACAAGAAATAAATGGCTCTCATTTAGAATGATGTTTTCAGTTGTTCATTGACTCCAGCCTGCTGTTTGACTCCTTGCGGACACAGTGTCTTGGTGGGGAAGGGCGGGGTTGAAACATAGCTAGAGGTCGAAAGAAGTTTGAAGTAAGTACAATTGTCTCAGTGGTTCTTTAGCACCTAAAAATATGTTGGTTAAAATGAATAATTTGAGACTAAAGTGAATTAGTTCAGGAAACTTGCCCAGTCTCAATCCAGGGTTCTTGCAGGCATGCCTACTCTTTTTCCTTCCTAAGGCCAGGGATCAACGGGACTTAGTATAATCCTATTGGATTTTGAAGTTATTAAAAAGTCAAGTTAAAAAGAAATCAATAGAACAACAGAATTTAAGTTTGACCACAGGAAAGTGGTCACACAGTGGTCAGGAAAACCTAGGTCACAGAGCAATGTCAATTCTAATGCACATTTTGGATTGTAAATTGGTACTATCACTTTGAAAAGGTTTTGGCAGTATCTAGTAGACGTTAAAGATATGCCCTAAGGCTCAATATTTGCACTCCTAGGTATAGGCAGAGAAACTTTTTACCCAGATACACCAGGAGACGTAAATAAGAATGATTATTTTTGGTACCGTTTATAGTAGATACAACTTGTAGTAGAGACTATTAGCAGTCCATAAAATTTGCTCTCACCTTGCAATGACAGGATTATCATAGAAATACAAAGACTACTATATCCACCCTTCCCCTATAGTGAAATGGTAGCTAGCTAACTTCTCTGCAGTGCAATGTGAGCGTAAGTGATGTGTGTTACTTCCAGGCAAGGACTTTTAAGAGTGTGAGTATGTTTTCTTGTCCCTTCCTCAAGCTAGATGCAGATGATGATGAAACTGGAGGGGATGGTGGAGTATAAGATGGTAGATACTTGACTCTGAATCATCCCATGAAGGACTACTTGCCAACCAGGAACATCTGTCTGAGGCTCTTATGTGCATAAGAAGTAAACGTATGTTGAGATATACATTCTTAGGTCTCTTTGTTAGCATACCCTAAGCCTTATTGTCTATCAATAGGAGAATGAATATATTGTGATATATAATGGAATACTATACAGCTATAAAATTTACTTGGGCTTGAATCATGAATATCTCTCTAAAACTATGGGGAAAGCAAGTTATAGACTATATCAAGTATACTATTCAAAGTTTAAAAACAAAAACAATGCTCTATGTTGTCAGTTTATATAAAAATCATATTAATACACAGAAATGACAAACACCGAATTTAGGATAGTGCTCCTGGGATCCAGAGGGACTATGAGGGAATTTGTGGATAACGAGTTTGCTATATATACTGTGTATCTGGAGTACTTCTTAAAAATTATTTCACACAAATATATTTTACTCACCTCCTTCTTAAAAGGAAACACTTTAGAAATTTTATTTCTGCTTCATTTTAACTTTTGATCCCCCCCCCCACCAGTTTATAGTCTCTTTTCCCCTGTGTCTTGTTCATTTTTTTTTTTTTTAAGATTTATTTATTTATTTATACAAGCACTGGGTACAGTCAGAAGTGCGGGAGGGTGAGAGAATTCACCAGAGTCAGAGCGGGGAGCAGAGCAGGCAGAAGGACTGAAGCACACTGCTGAGGGGAGCAGCAGGCGGCAGAAGAGGTCTGCGCGCCATGTAGGACCGGGAGCAGCCAGGGATCGAACCAGTGCTGCAGAGGCTGCGGGCAGCTTTGCAATCCAGCGCTCAACCGCTGCGCCACCAGGGAGGCCCTCTTCTGTTCATTTCTTCTATTGAACCAGCATCCCAGGCTAACCATCATCACTGGCCTATACTGCAATAGCTTCCTAATAGGTTTTCTTCTGCTTTTTACTGGCTTGGACACACTCCACATAACAGTTGTAATGAGTTTTAAAATTGTAAGCCAGACCTCATTCACCTTCTAAAAGCCTAATGGTTTTCCACTGCACTTAGAACAATAGATAGATAAATAAAAGTAAAGATAGAAGTTGCTCCCTTTACCTTGTCCTCCAAGGAACACTCTCTGTGCTCCTGTGCTAACCTTTTCAGCTTCTTCCTCTGTCCCATCCATAGTCTCCAGCTACTCTTTAGCCACATTAATTTTCCTGTTCCTTGAAGCTACTAAGCTCATCCCCATTTCAAATGGCCTTTTGATTCACTGTTCTCTCTGCCCGAAAAGGTCTTTGCCAGGTTTTGCACTGTAGGCTTCTTTTTATGATTCAGATTTCAGTCTCAGAGGTCTTTTTCATCTAAACACACTTTCTATAACATCACCAGTTTAATGTTCATAGCAAAGCAAACAAAAAGGTAGATTGAGATACTAGTTGGCCAACCTACTGCTCACTTGCATGTAAGGATTTCAAAGTATGTGCATCAGATTATTCACCCTCTAAGGTGTTCAACTCCCACAGCCTCACTGAAGACACATCCTCGAGCAGTACTTTAGATCCATTACGTGGGATAATAGGAATTAAAAATATACTGAGATGAGTTGAAAGTTAATCACTCCTGATAGAGATAATCAGGACAGCAGTAGCAGGAGAGGAATTAACAGCAGAATAGTAAGAAAGATTGTAGATCCCTTCTGTTTGACTCCTTATCAACCTAAAGAACTATTTTCCTAGTTTTTTTTTTTTACAGCGACTAGGGCTTCAAATTTTCTTGGATATGATGTTTTTCAAGTTCTGAAAATAGGAATGAAAATAGCAGATTAAGTTACCTGCATGCTATCTAAATTTCTACTTTCTACATTAAAACTGCATTTTTATTCTATACATTTAGTATGAATAAGACACAGAAGTCATAATACGAGAAAAGTAGAAAATACTAAACCAATAAATCAATTATAATCTAAAATCACTTTAATATCAAAAAACTTTTTTCATAACTAACTAACAAAAATTGTTAAAGTTAGAAGTTAAAGACACCGAGGGAGAGTCCTTTTTTTAAATTCAATTTTAAAGGAATACAATTTAAACATGAATAAAACTGAAAATTTAGTAGAAATTTTTTGCATTTCATTACTGACAATTTTTGTAAAACAAAGTTGATTATATTTTCCCATAGAGGACCAATGTTAAAATTTAAGGTTATAGTCCTGTAGTAGGCTCTAACCGTCAGTATGTCATGAGTGCAAAAAAAAAAAACAACTACCCTGCAAGTCTATACTAATTTAAAATGATATTCTCAGTGCCATAAATATATGGCAAGTATTAACTGCAAAAGGCATTTCATTAAGTACACACAAAATAAGAAAATGTAATAAATGACCTGTAATGAAAGTACCAACTCTTTAAAGAGTTGTCCAAATATTTTAAAACCTTTATTTTTCTTGAAATAAGCAGAGGCACTGAGCTTTTTTTTTTTTTTTTAAATTAATGCTGGAGATGTTTCTTCACAGAAAACATTTTCAAAAGTAAGAGTTCTCCTACTATACATCTACTTTATTTCCCCCGCCCTTCTCAATTTACTCAGTTAAACTTGTATGGGCTGAATATCAGATGAAAGACCTTTTTGTCCAGTACTCACTGAACTTGCTGTTTTTAGAGAGTACTATTTCACTTGTGAAAAATTGTAAAAGGAATTACCTGGTGATCCAGCTTAAAATTTAAAAGGCATTTAAAACCACTTTGCTGAATTGGCCAAAAGCAGTGAGGACAAACTGATATTGTTTGGCTATAGAGGAAAAAGCATTCCCTAAAGGAATTTGAAATGTTGCCCTTAAAGTTGCTTTTTCTGTAAAGAAATCTAACTTAGCTAGATGAAATCACATAACTGTTTTCCTTTCTCTTCCTCAAGGTGATTTTCTTGAGCTAGTTTTATGTATAGGTGTTTGGCAAATAGTAGTAGGTTATCTAAAGCTTTGTGGAATGTCCTGATTTATTAACGAGGGCACCTGGAATATCTAATTCAGGGACGCCATCACAGAAATACCTAGCAGTACTGCTGGGGGGAAGTAGCAAATTCTATACTGATGGTTATTTTACCACAGCAGTCTGAGATTCCCAAAACCAACCTAACCAATTTTATGTGGCACCTAAGATTACCTGCTCCAGTTCTTACTGTTTTAGGAATTACTTTGGATTAATACTTGACTTGGTACCTAGGGGAGGGGTCACTGTGGATTTTGGAGCACCCTGTCCTTTTGGGCACCAATTATACAATCTTTGTAGTCGCTGCCTTCCCCTTTTTACACACTCCACATACCACTGTTCCTGCAGCAGCTGTTGCTTCTTAGTGTTTAACTTGTTTTGAGTAACCTCCAACTTCTGGCTTTGCTCCATTAGCTGCAGTAATTCTTTCTGTAACTGCAGATTCTCTCTGATGATGCCACAATGGAACTCAAAACTGTGCTGCTTTGCTGCCGACTGTATTGCTCGGAAACTGTTAGGTTTTCTTTTTCTTTTCCCAAACTGCCTCATGTCTGGCTCACTCAGTTGTTTCTCCAGTATTGCTTTTTCCTGGAAGAATGGGACCAGACTTTCCTGTATTTTTTCACGTGTTTCGGCATGGGTTTTCTTTTTCTTCTCCTGCAATGTCTCTATTTCTCTGTCCTGTTTCTCCTTTAATATCAAAAGGTCTCTCATTGTCTGCAACTTCAGCTTCAAATTAAGTTGAATCCCTTCACTCTGCAGGAGCTCCCTTTCAAGCATTGCTGTTTGTTTTGCATATTTGGAGACTGATTCTTGTCTTTTTTCTTCAGCATCCCCAACTATTTGTACATAGCTCTTCCACAGCATCTCAGCTTGCCTTCTATAGTCCTCAGTTTTGTTAGTCAGGTATTCCAGAAAGAATTTATTTTCAGCCTGGACATTTAACTTTTCAGTGTGTAGCTGCCTGCTTTCCTCCATTAGCGGTTCTTGCTGGACTTGAGATTGTTTTATTTGCTTGTCCAGCTTCATAAGTTCTGCTATCGTCGTATTTTTAAGTTTCATCTCTGCCTTTGTTAGCGTCTCTGTCTTGAAAACATCATTTATTAAACTAAGATACGGTGTAAGGGAACTACCCAAGTCCTCATTAAACCTGAAGGAAGAACACGTGAGAAATGAAAAATTGGGAAATAGTAAGTTCACCGTTGTATTTTAATTCATACAAAACGATATTTCTAAGCACCTACTAGTTCCTGACACTGCAAGGCACCGGGGGATACATGGGTAATTTTGTGGGAGTGTAGTTCACAAAAATTAACATACACTCATTCACTATAACCTTGCGAGGTATTATCTCAATTTTAAAGAGAACTTCAGTGACTTGGTCACAATTCACACCGTGGCAAGTGTGAGAGCCTGGGTGTGAAGCCTAAATCTTGGGTAAACCTAGCACAAGTGGCCCCAGGAACAAACTTAACACAAAGTGGCCCCAGGAACAAACCAGGCGTTTAGGAGCGGGAATTGTCTCGGCTTTTTCACCACCTTTCCGGTTTCCAAAGAGGCCTCCGTGGAGGGACGCGCCCCTTCGGTACCTACTTGCACGCGGATTCCGAGTCTTCCTCCCCAAGGTCGAGGCGTAGTTTACTGAGGGCGGGTGCCAAGGAGTGAGCTGTACTGTCTGGGGTCGACAACTTGAGGATAGGGTGTCTCGGGGCGGTAAGTTTTCGCACTTTCTCGCTTCTTCGCTCGACGGGTGTCGGCGATGCCCAGCAGTCCGGGGAGTCGCACCACGGCCGGGTCCCCGCCGGTCCAGCTCCGAGCGGCCCCTCCTGGGCTGCCGCAGAGGCCTTGGCAGCCAGTTCTGCAGTGGGTCGGCACCCTGCTTTTTCCCGGTGGGGGGAGGAACGCACTTTACTCATTCTCGTGCTGTGGAAGTCCTGCCCTCGGGATGCCCGCTCGGCTCGCCCTCCTGGGGACCATAGCGTCTCCACTCCCAGCCTCAAGCCTACAATGGTCAGCGGCTCGCTCTTCTGCCCCTTCCCGACGTCCTCCCAGCGTGCCCACTTTCCCGCCACAGTCATTAGAGCCAGCCCCGAAGCCGGGTCCAGAGAAAAGATGCTCCGGGGCCCGCCCCGCCCCTACGCGCGTCTGTCCCGGCGGCTGGTTCGAGCGTCTTGGCAACGCGGAGAGCCGGGAGGGCGCTCTAGCCTCCCGGAGTCTCTATGGTAGAGTGGGCGGAGCTTGGAGCAAGATGGCGGCGCCCGCAGCTTCTCCCGAGCCCCAGGCTTCTGGGGGTCCTCGGCCCCCAGTGTGTCTATTGGTGTTGGGAATGGCGGGATCTGGGAAAACTACCTTTGTTCAGGTGACGTACAAGACGCCGGCATGGTAGGGGCGAGAGTTGCCTGTGCGGGTGGAGGTCAGGGAGAAAGCGGGGAAGGGCTCACTGGGGAGCTGAGGGGACCGGCGCGTGGTTTGGGCGGACTTGCTAGCAACTTGCGTTCCTTCCTGCGCGAAGCACTCTCGGACCCTAGCCTGGGGGAATGAAAGCTCTTTGCCGCGCATCCTCAGTGCGTACTTAGTCAGTTTCTCACTTTGTATTGGAATGGTCTGACCGATAAAGTTGCCCACTCCTCGAAGGCAGAGGCTTCGAGTAACTGGCCATGCACTCAGTACTGGCTTACGCAGGCTTTCGGTGAAGACTGCTAAGACATGATTTCCTGCGCGTCTGTGTTTGAAGCACTGAGGGTACTGCGAATCTGCGAGCGATCTCGCTTAAATGAAGCTAATATTTCTGTGGGAATGATAGAAATCCCCACAAACAAGATTAGAAAATAAATGATCGAGAATATGGGAGGCTCTGTTAAATGGATGATTAAGAAAGTAGCATTTCGGTTGAGCGTATTTCAGGTAGAGGGAAATATAAGTGCCAAAGTATTCAGGTATGTCGATAAAGAAATGGAAGTTCTCTCTTGTCCACTCTTCATGCCTTTGTCTCACTCTTTCCCTTTCCCAATATCTCTGCAGAGGCTTACGGGACATCTGCATAGTCAAAGCATTCCACCTTATGTGATCAACCTGGACCCAGCTGTGCATGAAGTTCCCTTTCCTGCCAACATTGGTGAGTAAACTCTCCTAGAATTGTGTGAAGAGCCTCAGAGAATGGAAAGGCTCCAACCTGATAGTCTTAAATGCCTTTTGTTTTCATTTTTTCTAAACTATTTACTTTTATTTGCTTAGACCCCTGAATAGGCTTCTCCCTTATTTACATTATCTCTTTGCTTACTCTTTGCCCTTTCCTAAAATTTTTAACATTCACCTTTATCTCTTCTCTTTTTTGACCCTAACCTGTTTATGGCCTAAGAATGTTGTTATTTGGGAAAATTAAGAGACAGAAAGTCAATCCTTTCACTCTTAGGCCATAAACAGCTCTGATACATAAACTGTTTTTTTACTTCATTTCTTTTCTCAAAGTTTGCTTAGTGATAAGAGATCTTGTGTCCTTGTTCACTTACTGATCTGTAGCAACCTTGCTTCCAATTCCAAGGTTACATGGAAAACTGTGTATATAGGCATATGTGGCTTGTTGTAGGGAGAGGTGCCCAGTTATTAGACTTTAAGAGGAGTCTGAGACTATAAAATAGATTAGAATGGATGTGATCCAGCATCAGGATTCTTTTTTTTTTTTTTTTAAGATTTATTTATTTATGCATACAAGAACTGGGGTACTAGCCAGAGGTGTGGGGGGTGAGAGGATTCCCCGGAGACAGAGTGGGGAACAGAATAGGTGGATTGACTGAAGTACACTGCTGAGGGGAGCAGCAGGCAAGTCAGGAGAGGTCCACTGCACCATGTGGGTGCTCCCTGGCCAGCTGGGGATCGAACTCTTGATGCAGTGACTGCAGATAGCTTCATAGGTTGCTTCTTAATCCCGTGGGCCACCAGGGAGGCCAGATTCTTGATAGGATCTAGGCTTCCTAATTTCCAGGCTTTCACTGTGTGCTAATCCTCTCTCTCCTTGCCTCTTAATTCTATTAAGCTGCTTGTACCCCAAACATACTAATAGAATATCTTGTGTTAAGAAGCAGAGATCATTTCAGAAGACTTTGGGGGGACAGGAAGGAAAATTGTTCATCTTCTTAAAGAATGGAATTCTGATATGTGATGGGATAGGTCTATAGACAGGTAGATAGGTTCAGTTAGACATTATTGAAAAGATTAATTCCTTTTTAAAAAATCATGTCTGCATTATCCTTGTTACCAGGCAATTAGTAAGAAATAAAACTTTCTGAGTTTGGTCCCTTTTTCTATGCAAATAGTCAGTGATAAGGTATTTTTTTTCCTCTGAGGAAGCAGAGATTACTTGAGAGACTTACTAACTTTGGATATTGTAAGAGGTAGGGGCAATCAAGTATATTGTTTCTTATGTGTTAAATTCCAATTAATTCTTTCATCCCTCCAGATATTCGGGACACTGTGAAGTATAAAGAAGTCATGAAACAGTATCCTTTTCCACATCTACTTCAGTGGACTTATCCTAGCTAGTTATTTTGTCTATTTTGTGTCTCTGATGTGTGTTTTTCCATTTCCTTGTGACACACAAACAAAAGCATTTTTTTTTTTTTTTAATAGAGGCATGTTTTATTTATTTATTTATTTGTTTGTTCATTTGTTTTTGTTTATACATGCACTGGGTACAGTCAGAAGCGCGGGAGGGTGAGAGAATTCACCAGAGCCAGAGCGGGGAGCAGAACAGGCAGAAGGACCGAAGTACACTGCTGAGGGGAGCAGCGGGTGGCAGGAGAGGTCTGCGCACCATGTGGGACCCTCCTCCGGTGGCCGGGGAGCAGCCGGGAATCGAACCGGCGCCGCAGAGGCTGCGGGCAGCTTCGCAACCCAGCGCTCTACCGCTGCGCCACCGGGGAGGCCCAACAAAAGCATTTTTTAAAAAGTAATTTTATTAGTAAAATAGAAGATGAGTGTGTGGAGAGGTATTGTAGGTAATAAGAAATATTATTATTTCAATTTGTGTGTTTTCTACCATCTCCCCAGACTGCAAGCTTTAGTAACCAGATCACATGGAGTGAGAGACTAGCTGATGGCATGGCAGGGTGCCCAAGGTAGTATTGCTCTAGAGGATACATCCATTGGTCATCACCACTTCACATTGGGAAACTCAGAAATGAGTAGGGTTAGTTGGATCAACTTTTAATACATTGCTTTGTGAAATGTGAACTTTGCCTTTAGGTAAGACTAATTATAATCAGCAGGTTAATTAATTAGTGATGGTCTGAACAAGAAGTATTATATAGGTGATCTTAATGTTTAATGCCAGCAGGCTGTCACTGCCTGATGGATCTGACTGTTATAGTTTGATCACTTTATAGTTTCTTCATTTTGCCTGACCATCCCTAAAAAGATAAATGAACTGGAAAGTCCTGGGTCATAATGCTTACCTATGAGTGGTGGTACATTCTAATCAGGGATTAGCTCGCCAATTTCTATTTCTGGAACACTAATATTTAATGCTATTTGTGTGGGTAATATCCTGGGTGTGGACTTCATTATCTGATTTGTAAGCAATTTAAACCCTCAACTTAGTGTCTAGATATGGACTTGGACCTAATGGTGGTATAGTGACCTCACTCAATCTGTTTGCTACCAGATTTGATCAGGTATGTGTTTATATAATCATGATTGTGTAAACCTATGACTCTTAAATGCGTTAACTTGATCACATTTGGAAAAAAGAGCAGTAAACCTGAATATAAATATAAAAAATAAGTAAACATTTTGGTAGAGAGTAGGCTGAGAGGGGATGATCAACATTGTGAGACACTTTACATTTAATACTTGTGACAGCCAATAAAACAAAAATCCAGGAGACCTGGATTCTTTTTTTGATCTGTTATTGGCTTGCAGTGTTTTTTGTTTTTTTAAAGATTTATTTATTTATTTATACAAGCACTGTGTACAGTCAGAAGCGTGGGAGGGTGAGAGAATTCACCAGAGTCAGAGCGGGGAGCAGGGCAGGCAGACAGACGGAGGACACTGCTGAGAGGAGCAGAGGGTGTGGCAGGAGAGGTCTGCGTGCCATGTGGGACCCTCACCAGCTGGCTGGGGATTGAACCGGCGCTGCAGAGGCTACAGGCAGCTTCGCAGCTTAGTGCTCAACCGCTGCACCACCGGGGAGGCCCTGGCTTGCAGTGTTAACCTGAGTATGGGGTGGAGGATAAGTTGAGAAGGGCTAGCAGGCATGGAATGGTAAGATAATGGGGCCTTTTCCTTATAACAAATAGCTGCCATCATTTAGGTTTTCTCTGTCATCCTCTACACCATAAAAGTGTTTTGTAATCATTCATTTTTTTTACCTTGAGATCACTCTATGAGACAGGCTAGTCACATTTTATTGGAGTCATTTACCAGAGAAATGATATGACATTGACAGATCTAGTCTTCAGTTTCTCAGGCCCTTGCACCTTGCTCAAAGTGTTGCAATGCTGCTGATGTAGCTGTGTTTCTTGGGCTCAGTGGGTTTATTAGTTGGTGTCCTAAGATTGAGCCTGTGAGGCGGTCCCCACGGAGAGGACCCTGGGATTTTGTGTTGAAATTACAATTACATTCATTGTAATTGACATCTTTTTCTGTTAGGTGATGAAATTTATTGAGAAGGCCCAGAACACATCCAAGTAAGTGATTTCAGTTTACTGCCCGTCTGATAATCTTTAGTATTTCTAGGCATTTGAAGGACTTTGGGATGCTATCTACCTCTGAAAGGATGTAGAATGAGTTGAAACCATTAGCAATAAAAAAAAGTGAGCAACAAAATCATTAAGATTTTAATGATTACATTGCTATACAGTGTGGAGTTAAATTTTATAGTATCCCACCTTCATTCACTTTGGTACACGTTCATGACTTCTTTGGAAATAATTTGAGACTTTGTTCAAATTCACTTGTCTACCTGCCTTCTCTTGGAACCCCATGCTTGTTGACATTAAAGTTTCTGAATTGCCTTTATAATTCTTATTTAAATGAATGTAATTTATAGGATTCAGAAGAATAATTATTTTTAATTTTAAAAGTATAAAAATATAAAATATATTTGTTCATAATATGTTCTTATTATCCACAATTAACTAGAAAAACATTTAAAAAATTAGAAAAAGCATTAGAAAACATTAGAGAAATTTTTTGTTTGCTTTTTTAAGAGAATAATGATTTTTTTTTTTTTTTGTGGGACCCTCACCAGTGGCCAGGGAACGAACTGGTGCTGCAGAGGCCGCGGGCAGCCTCGCAGCCCAGTGCTTAACTGCTGCGCCACCAGAGGAGGCCCTGTTTTATTATTTTTGTGAAAAAGTTTATGTGCTCATTATGAAGCTCTCAAACCATGCATAATATTTGAAAGATGAAACTATCACCTTGATTCTAACTAGAAATAGCTGTCATGTCAGTGACTCATTCCACATGTTTGAGGCATGTACACAAAGATAGAGGGATGGAGAAGGTGTTTTTATAAAAATGGGATCATGCTAGACGTAGTTTTTAGAAATGAAAGTTTATTTATTGAGATTTATTTATTTATTTTTTTTTATTTATAGAGGCATGCTTTATTTATTTGTTTGCTGGTTTGTTTGTTTGTTTTGTTTATACATGCACTGGGTACAGTCAGAAGCGCGGGAGGGCGAGAGAATTCACCAGAGCCAGAGCGGGGAGCAGAGCAGGCAGAAGGACCGAAGTACACTGCTGAGGGGAGCAGCGGGCGGCAGGAGAGGTCTGCGCGCCATGTGGGACCCTCCTCCGGTGGCCGGGGAGCAGCCGGGGATCGAACCGGCGCCGCAGAGGCCGCGCGCAGCTTCGCAACCCAGCGCTCAACCGCTGCGCCACCGGGGAGGCCCCTATTTATTGAGATTTAAAGTGGCACATCATAAAGGAGTCCAGCAAGATGGCAGCAGAGTGAATAGGCCAGGCTTTCTCCCCCACATAAATTCACATATCGTAAAGTGCATGCTTTTAAAGTATACATTTTAGTGGTTTTTAGAATATTCACAAGTTGTGCATTGATCACAACTATCTAATTTCAGAACATATTCAGCATCCTGACAGGAAGCCCCCTATGCCTTGGCAGTCACTGTTTACTCCCCCTTCCTCCCACTCCTGGGAACTATCCCATTTTACATTCCTACTGGCTATGTCTGAGGGGTCCAGTTTCTTCATAGCCTCAGTCCTTGCTCTTGTCCTTGTTTTTGATTATAACCATCTTAATGGGTGTGAATTGGTATGTAATTGTGGTTTTGATTTGTATTTCCTCAATGATTAATGATGTCGACCTTATTGTTGGACATGTACTTATTGTCTCTTGGTATATATATTTGGAGAAATATCTATTCAAATTCTTCACTCACTTTCGAAACAGCCTTATTAAGATATAATTCATAGACCATACACTCCAACCATTTAAAGTGTACAATTCAGTGGCTTTCAGTATAATCACAAATTGTGCAACCATCACCACAATCAATTTTAGGGTATTTCTTCACCTCAAGAGGAAACCTTCTGTTCTTTAGTTATCACCCCCCTCCCTGCCCTCTGACATTCTCCCTTAGCAGTTGGATGGTTTCCCATTCTGACTTTGTTTATCTCTGATTTTTAGTGCAGTGTGTTGCTAAGACTGTATCAGTTTCTTCCAGGGTTATTTGCGGCAATTGATGAAAGGCTGCTCCCTTACTTATTAGTTTGAATATTGGCTAATGTACAAAGCCTGGGGGATATGTTATGCATTTTAAGGATGACAGGAGGAAGTTAAGACTTGGCATTGTGAAGAGATTATCAGAGAACCAGATGGGATGACTTTCAGCATTGCACATGCCTAATACTTCTTTCATGGTCTCTCTTGACATAGATATGTCTTGATTGACACACCTGGACAGATTGAAGTATTCACCTGGTCAGCTTCTGGGACAATCATCACTGAGGCCCTGGTGAGCATTCTAGGGCTTGTTATAGAGGGTAGCTAGAGAGCTGGAAAACATGAATGGAAAAAACATCTTTATATTGCCTGGGACCTTATGTGGGAGGGAGTCTGGCAGCTGTGCACACCTGACTAAAGTGGTTCCCCCTTGCTATGGAATTTGAAAAAGAGTTTGGGGGACAGGCCATGAGCCCTCTAAGTAAAGCTTAGATTATTTTGTGGTTTTAGGCATCTTCATTCCCAACAGTTGTGATTTATGTAATGGACACATCGAGAAGTACCAACCCAGTGACCTTCATGTCCAATATGCTCTATGCCTGCAGGTAATTGGTTATTGGTAGAATTACATCAAGGTATGAGGCCTTCTCTTCTCCTTTGTTTTTGAGTCCTGAGAACTTTCCACTAGAGTTGTGCTCTTTCGCACTTGCCATTTAGTTTAGTGTCTGTGTGTCGGGGAGGGATCAGAAGAGGAAAGAGGCGCGCATGCTGCTGGCATTCTGTGTCAGCAACTTCTTATCTTCCTTGCCTGCTGGTACAGAAACAGGTGGTGTAAGAATATGAACCTTTTGTAATTGTTCCCATTTGAATGAAATGCAAGTCTAAATAGAATATGTGGCCCTGGTCTAAGTGCTCGGTTATGATAGGTAAGGTATAATTATAACACAGGGAGACGCTATAAAGATTGACCCGTAATTTGAAAATGTGCAGGTTTGCCCCAGGTGTGTTGCCGTTAGAAGAGGAAGCACCTGCCTCACTAGGGTGTATTGGTGCATTAGATCTGGGAGCAAGGAAGACCATTTTAAAGTTGAGAAGATTTGATATGGGGTAAACAAAAGCCATTAGCAGCATACCTCACTTCTAATGACTATGGATAGCCCCTCATATTAGATGCAGGAAATCCTTGTGCAAACAGAAATCTGATGACTGACAGCAGCATTTCATTTTCATATTAATTGTTTAAAATATTATTTGGTAAAAAATGAACAACACACATATATCAGGATCAAAACGCTATTACCCTGAGAAAAAGAGCAAGAATGCTTGTGTTTGCTTGATGTTGGTGGCTTTCCTCTTGTGGGAGAATATAACGTGAGTGCCGTTGTAGAATGGATACCTACGTTTAGAGTCTAAACCCATCCCTTCTCCTTACTTCCAAAAGACTGAAATCATGCAAACAAGAGCCTAAGTGATTTTACTAATAATGTCTTAATATTTGATTTTCAGCATCTTATACAAAACCAAGCTACCTTTCATTGTGGTCATGAATAAAGTAAGTGGTTCCTTCTGTTGTGATTCAGTACATATTTTTCTTCAGGATACTATGTTATCGGAAGGTTTAGGTAGGTGAGAAGGATTATTTCAAATGCTGGAGAACGGATTCAGTCTTAACTGAAGCAAAGGCATGAGCACTTCTAGGAAAAGGATTCAATCCAATTGAATATCACCAACTCATCCAGAGTTATTTGAGGCTAAGTGGACTAGCCCCTCAAACTTATTGTGTATGTTGTCCCTCAAAATCAAGATCATGTAAATGGGAGAGGGCCTGCTAATCTATGGGAGTGGCAGGCAACAGACAACATATAAAATGTCCCTGTTGCTGGTTGATGGCCAGGACGCACGGGTCTGCTTGACTCTGGGGCCTGGAATGTGCAGGCATCCACTGTGAGCATGGTCACTTGGCAGTGGCTGGAGAGTATGTGTCTTCATTTTTTACAGAACAGTCTTGTTTCGCTGTGGCTTGTTACTGTAGAAGAGAAAATGGAAGAAGCAGAGGAAAGAAATAAATGATTGCTCTTTGCTGTTACTACTTAATTAAAAAATTTTTTTTTGCCATTTTTAATGTCTAACCTTCTCTGTGATTGCTGTGTTTACTTCTCTCTGGTGCAGACCGACATCATTGATCACAGCTTTGCAGTGGAATGGATGCAGGATTTTGAGGCTTTTCAAGATGCTTTGAATCAGGAGACTACGTACGTCAGCAACCTGACTCGTTCAATGAGCCTGGTGTTAGATGAATTTTATAGCTCACTCAGGGTAAATTTTCTCTCCTGCTCACATTAACAGCCTCTCCTGATAACCTTTCCACCCTGAGAGCTCACTTTGAACCCATCTTAGAAATGAAGTTCATTACCTTCTGAAAACTAACTTTAAAGCATTGCTTATTAAAAATTAGAGGTTTAAAAGGTAAATAAGATAGAGATCCTACCCTCAGGGAATTTATGGTCTAGTCAGGAGAGAAAGATATACACAGAATTGAAACTTATGTGATAAGTACCTTAGGAAAGATTGGAAGTTGGGGCCTCCCTGGTGATGTAGGGGTTAAAGTCTCAGCATTATCAAGCTATAGCCAGCTACTGCGGTATGAATTGGATCCCTGGTCAGGGAGCTAACTCACATGGTGAAGCAGACCTCTCCTGTCTTGTCCGCTGCTCCCCTCAGCAGTGTGTTTCAGTAGATCTGCATTTTCTTCTCCCCACTCTGTCTCTGGTGAATCCTCTTACCTCCCACACCTCTGACCTCCACCCCAGTTCTTGTATGCATAATTAAATAAAAATAAATCTTTTTAAAGAAAAAGAAAGATTGGGAGTTGAAGATTTTATGATATTTGAACAAAATAACATATACCATTTAAAAATATATTGTTGTTTTCTCAGTGCATTAATGGTGCTTTTGGCAGGTGGTGGGTGTCTCCGCTGTTCTGGGAACCGGCTTAGATGAGCTCTTTGTGCAAGTCACCAGTGCTGCCGAAGAATATGAAAGGTGAGCTATTGATGACGTTCTTTGTAACCCGTATGTCTGATATGGCAGCAGGGTTGCGAGGCAAAGCATTTTGGTTTTCGTGGTGCTCTATGTTTGCCATAAACTTATGTTCTGGCTCTGACTACACATGGGGGTAACAAGTCTCCATTAACTTAAATAGATGTATACAATCTTGGATGATCAAGAGCGGGAGTCTGACAGACTCTTTTTGTTAAAAGCCGCATAGTTAGCATATTAGGCTTCGTGGGCCATACTGTCTCCGTTGCAGCTACTCCGTCCTGTCATTGTTGTACAAAAACACACAGGTGATTCGTAAATGAATGTGCATGATGCCAGGCCGCAGTGTTGATTTGGCCTCTTTACCAGTGACTGACCCCTGATTAAGAACATAAACAAGTCAGACAGGCTTGGGTTGCATTTCTCTTTCCTCCACTGAGTGAGAGAGTGAGTGACCTTAGCAGGTTTTCATCATTCGTAGCTCAGGGATAATAGCAATTATTGCTAAAGTCATTGTGAGGATTGAGAAAATAGTTCAAAGGTACCCAGCTACTTGCTGACACAGTAAGCAGATGATAGAGGGTTCTTATAACTGTTGTAGTCACTGCTGGGACCCTGTGTGCCTACTGCAGCATGCAGCCAGTGCCTGCACACCTCCTTTGGCTGGTGATTGACTGCTTACCTGCTTGTGCCTTTGACCGCACACTTAGTGAGATCCTAGCAAGCATGTTTTGGTTTTTGGACACATTTTGATTTTGTTTCATTAGACAAACGTGGGGGTGGTGGTAGGGTATGTGTGTGTGTGTGTGTGTGTGTGTGTGTGTATGTCCCCTCAAAGCCTCAGGGTGGATCCTTCTCTATATCCTTTCATGGTTGCCCAGATAAACCACATTTATATATGAGTATATATGAGGCTTCCTAAGCCCCACAGGCCTGCTGCCTTTACAAACCTCCAAATGTTTATCCAGATGAACGAACTCACCAGTCATGGCCTCCAGAGTTGATCTTTCCAGGTGGCAGCTCGTCTTTTGTCTCTTTGCTAGCTTCAGGGTAGGAATGGCCAACCCCCGCTTTTCATTCCATGGAAATAGAAGCTTAGTGGCTAAGTCCTGTTGCATCTGGTGTTCAGTGAAGTAAGATCCGTCCTGAGTGGGCCTCCCCGGTGGCGCAGCGGTTGAGCGCTGGGTTGCGAAGCTACCCGCAGCCTCTGCAGCGCTGGTTCAATCCCCGGCTGCTCCCCAGCCACCGGAGGAGGGTCCCACATGGCGCACAGACCTCTCCTGCCGCCCGCTGCTCCCCTCAGCAGTGTACTTCAGTCTGCCTGCTCTGCTCCCCGCTCTAGCTCTGGTGAATTCTCTCACCCACCCGCGCTTCTGACTGTACCCAGTGCTTGTATAAATAAATAAAAATAAATTTTAAAATAAAAAAAGAATTTATCTCCCTTTAAAAAAAAAAAAAGTTCCTTCCTGAGTGTCAAAGTTCTAGGAAAAGAGAAGTGATAGAGGAGGGGGACAGGGCAGATTACTAAGCCAAGGAATTTAGAAAGTGTTTTTTTTCCCAGGGAGTATCGTCCGGAATATGAACGTCTGAAGAAATCACTGGTAAGAAAGGAGGTTGTGTATTTTAGGGCCACTAAAATGACAAGTTCAAACTGTGTAGTAATCCTCCTACAGGTGTCTTTGTTTTGACTCACACAGTGTCTTTTTGATACTTGGTAACTGAAATTTGTAAATCTGTATGTATGCTGTCTGGATGCAGAATGATTACAATTTTTCTTCTCTATCCAAATTTTTAAAAATCTGATTTTTCCTATAATATATGCCAGGCATCTTACACCCACCCCTGCCCTCCTCTAAGGTCCATGTGCAAGCTAGTGGTAGAATTTTACTTAGGGACAGAAGTGTTGCACAGCTTGTATCTAAAATGACCAGGTGTCCTGCCTCCATCGGCCACATCAGGCCCCTTATCACTGTCTTCCTGCCAGGTCTACCTGAGGGTTCTTTTGAGATGTTTTTGTGTGCCATTTCTGATGCTTTACCTCAGTATGCAGAGCCCCCTTTTCCCCCCAGTCTGAACAGCTAGTCTGGGCCCATTAATTAGCCTCAGTGTTTAAGTAGCCTTGAGTATTTGTATAATTGACCATCTCCAGTTAAAAGGTGGCTCCAAACACCATGCCATTTGCCTCTCTATACACAGGCCAGTGCACAGAGCCAGCAGCAGAAAGAACAACTGGAGCGCCTTCGGAAAGACATGGGCTCTGTAACCTTGGACCCAGGGTCGGCTGCAGGTATTGGAAGGTCTCTTTGTGTTAGGAACTAAGAAGAGGGAATGCTTACTTCCAGTCAGCTGAAGATACTTATATGCAAAAGAAAAAAAGTAAATGTGGTATGATTGATAGATAGAGCTGCTTTCAATGTCTTTATAAAATAGTTTGGAAAGGAAAGCCCCTGAAAGCCATATGCAGCTATGCCACTTTGGGTTCTTTGGGTTCTGATATATATATATTTTTTAAAGATTTATTTATTTATACAAGAACAAGGGTACAGGGCCTCCCTTGGTGGCGCAGTGGTTGAGTGCTGGGTTGCGAGGCTGCCTGCAGCCTCTGCAGCTCCAGTTCAATCCCCAGCCACCGGCGAGGGTCCCACCAAAAAAAAAAAAAGAACAGGGGTACAGGCCAGTGGCATGGAAGGGTGAGAGAATTCACCAGAGACAGAGTGGAAGCAGAACAAGCAGACAGATGAAAGCACTGCTGAGGGGAGCAGTGGGTGAGTCAGGAGATGTCTGCTGTGCCATGTGGGTATCTCCCTGGCCGGCCAGGAATTGAACCGTGCTGCGGAGGCTGCTGATAGCTTCATAGTTGAGACTTATCCCCCTGTGCCACTAGGGTCTCCCCCTACCTGCACTGATGTTAAAGAGGAATTCACTCATGTTTTATTGTAGTACTTGTATGGTTTCATTTTCCACATTTGGGTCCTTGATGCATTTAGAGTTTATTCCTGGGTATGGTCTGAGGTATAAGTCGATGATATCTCAGTTGTACCACACTGGTTATTAATAAGTCTACTTTGTTCCAGTGATTTGAGATGCTGCCTTTATTGTATATTTAAGTTCCATGTACTTGGGTTTATTTCTGGACCTCCCATTTTATTCTTCTGAACCATTTTGTGCTTGTACTATACTGTTTTGATTATGTGTAGTCCTTATAACATGTTTTAATATCTGCTTGGGGGAGTTCCCCTCATAGTTTTCTTTTTTGCTGTTTCTGTAGGTATTCTTATGTATTTACTTATGCACATGAACTTCAGTATCAACTTAGCTTGCTAAAACAGCTTGATGTTGCTTCTGCTGGCTATCCTTGTGCCCAGCTCAGCTCTATTTTTTTTTTTTTTTTAAGATTTATTTATTTTTATACAAGAACTGGGGTATGGGCCAGAAGCGTGGGAGGGTGAGAGGATTCACCAGAGACAGAATGGGGAGCAGAACAGGCAGATGGACCGAAATACACTGCTGAGGGGGGCAGTGGGCGTGACAGGAGAGGTCTGCCATGCCATGTGGGAATCTCCCTGGCTGGCCAGGAATCAAACCCATGCTGTAGAGGCTGCGGACAGCTAGTGCTGCGTTCAACCCACTGCGCCACCGGGGAGGCCCCGGCTCAGCTTTCTTAACTGCTTGGGCTCCTGGAGAGAGAGTTGTCCCGTGTCTTTAGGATACTTGCCATGTTTTAGATCCTGAGATCCTGATAGATACCAACCCCTGTAGGCTGAATCCTCTGCCTATGAATTACTTGATCAGATTTTCTCCTGATTATTGCAGCTCATCCCTTACTCATTTTCTGTGAGTAAGGAACTATACCTCTATCAGTATATTCAGTCTTCTACCTCCTCCCCTCACCGCCCCCCCCATCCCCCCGGTTTTTTGAATAATACCCTGACTCCTCTCTTGTGTAATTTTTTTTACCCTCTGGTCGCTTCAGACTCTCTCTAAACTTAATTTCCACCAGGAAGCTTCCTTGGCACTCCTTGGCCCACCAGCACATTGGATCTGCTTAGATGTCTTTAACTTTCACAGGAAACACCACAGCCCCTGCCCTGCCCTGAGCTGGTAACAAGGAATGCTGTTACTGCTAAGATAGGCTACTTGAAAGTTATTTTACTCAGTTTTAAAATAGAACCTTTTGGATTATTAGGATTGTGAAAACACTTTGTGAACTGAACTGTGGTAGAAATGTTTCGTGGTATAAGTAGTAAATTTAGAAGAATCTTCACTTTATCACAACCACTTTCATTCTGCCATTTTATACCTATTATCACTTACTGATTCAAAATCACCTTAACGAGGAAGCGTATGTTCATGACATGTTACTGATAGGTGTTTTCTCTGTAGACAGCTTATCTCCTGTGCTGGACCCTTCTGACTTGATCCTGACTCGGGGAACCTTGGATGAGGAGGATGAGGAAGCTGATAGTGATACTGATGATATTGATCATCGAGGTGAGAAGTGGCTGAGGTGGCCTCCTGAAAATAGCTGAGTGGCTCATCCTCACATGTGTGCGCAGGAGCTGCTTCCTGCTGAGGGACCGTAAGCAAGCAGCCAGTGATAGGAGAGGGGGAGATGGTTAAGGACACAGCACAGAAGACTTCCGTGAGAGTTCCTGACCTTCCTGCAGAATGGTTCATTTGAGCTGATAACGAGCCTCCTTATGTATTCTTATCTTCAGGTCCTAACTCAATTTGAGGAACCCAGGAATTTGTTTGTCATTGTTGTTTTCAGAATATATAAGGAGGCCTCAGCCTACCTCAACCAAGCTGAGGACAGAGTGGCTCTCAAAATCAAAAGGATTCCACTTTGGCATAATTTTATGGAATCTATTTTTGCAGTGACCCTTTTAGGTTTGACCAAGAGAAAACCTCTCTTTACTCCATCAGGCTGGATGCTAACATGTAAATTGCCTCATTTGGTCAGATTTACTGAGGTTTGATTTACAAACACTAAACCCACTTTTGTAAAATGTATAGTTTGATAAATTTTAGCACATAGTCTTGTAATTATCATCAACATCAGAACACTTCTATCATCCTAAAAGTTCCTTCTTGTCTTTTTATTCATTTCCCCACACAGCTAGTTTCTGGCAAACGCTGATTTCTAGTTCCAAAATTTTGTTCTTTCTAGAATGCTTTTTGCATTTGACTTTTTTTTTACTTAGTGTTAATTCTTTTGGTGATCCCTCCAGGTTGTTGTATCAATAGGATTTTCTTTTATATTGCTCAGTAATAATCCATTATGTGGATGTACCACAATTTATCTACTCACCAAGTGATTGATATTTGGGTTATTTCCAGATTTTAACTATTGTAAGTAATATTGCTATAAACATTGATAGGTGTTTGTGTGAGTATATGTTTTTATTTCTCTTTGTTAAAAATACCCATGAGTGGGTTTTTTAGTTAGTTTATGAGGGAGCTATTTTCCCCACCTAGTAATGAAAGAAATTGTACATTTTGGGCCACGTGATAAATAGAACCTGCTTCTGGGAGATATTTCCTTGGTAAGAGAAGTGAACATTTAGTAACTTAGAATTAAAGTATTATTTCTGATGCTGGATGACAGCAGCTCTAATCCACTGGGAGAGTTTAAAAAGATCTGATATTTTCTCCTTGCAGTCACAGAGGAAAGTCATGAAGAGCCAGCTTTTCAGAATTTTATGCAAGAATCAATGGCACAGTACTGGAAGAGAGGTAGCAAATAGATTCTAGAAGTCCAGAGTTTTGGAGTTAACTCTGTGGAAGAACTGTGCTTTCCTCTGATTGGGGGCTACTATAAGGATAATTTTGTTCAGAATGGCAGTCTCTCCTATTAGGAAAATCTGACTGATGAAGACCCTTGGACTGACAGGTGGATACCAGTTTCCCTGGCTTTTTCCTTGGATTTATGCAAAGAAGGATATTCTGACAGTTCTTGGATGTGGATATCCCTTGAGGTCTGAAGTGTCAAGTCTTATCATTTGAACTCAAGCACTTTTTCTGCTGATGGATGGAACAGAGAGATATTACTGAACTTCAGATCTCTAATATTTGACTGGAATTCCAGCCTCTACTTCCCCAGCATCTTGTCCAGAGTGGCACTGGAGTGTCCTTGGCATCCAATCAATGCTGATAGTAAGTGTGCCTCACAGTGGGCAGCTCATTATAGGGCACCAGGAAGTGGTGGGCAAAACCTGATTTATGAATAAGAAATGAATAAGATAATGCTTTCCATGGTGACTTAGATAAAGAGTTTTTAATTTTAACCTTGTAAGCTTGCTTGTCATAATTCCAAATAAGGAAATTATATAAATGCAAATAGAGTTGCTTCTATTCAACAGAGTTTTTTTTTTAAATTTATTTTTTTAAGTAGATTTATTTATTTATACATACAAGAGCTGGGGTACAGGCCAGAGACACGGGGGTGAGAGGATTCACCAGAGACAGAGTGGGGAACAAAACAGGCAGACTGACTGAAATATACTGCTGAGGGGAGCAGCGGGCGAGTCAGGAGAGGTCTGCTGCACCATGTGGGTTGCTCCCTGGCCGGCTGGGGATCGAACTTGTGCTGCAGAGGCTGCGGACAGCTTCATAGTTTGCTTCTTAACCCCTGTGCCACCAGGGAGTCCCCTCAACAGAGAGGTTTAATGTCACAAGTCTTAATAGGGAGGTGATGTTTACTAACATTTCCCAGACCCACGTCCCTAGTAACGAGATAGAGAGCCAGACCCTGTTTGTATTGTTTTTTTTTTTAAGATTTATTTTTATACAAGAACTGGGGTATAGGTCAGAGGCATAGGAGGGTAAGAGAATTCACCAGAGACATATTGGGGAACAGAACAGGCAGACTGAAATACACTGCTGAGGGGAGCAGTGGGCGAGACAGGAGAGGTCTGCCGCGCCATGTGGGACTCTCCCTAGCTGGCCGGGAATTGAACCGCGCTGCAGAGGCTGCGGACAGCTTCACAGCGCTGCGCTCAACCTGCTGCGCCACTGGGGAGGCCCTGTATTTTTTTTTTTTAGATTTATTTTATTTATTTATTTATTTTATTTATTTCTACAAGCACTGGGTACAGTCAGAAGCGCGGGAGGGTGAGAGAATTCACCAGAGCCAGAGCCGGGAGCAGAGCAGGCAGAAGGACCGAAGTACACTGCTGAGGGGAGCAGCGGGTGGCAGGAGAGGTCTGCACGCCATGCGGGACCCTTCTCCGGTGGCCGGGGAGCAGCCGGGGATCTAACCGGGGCTGCAGAGGCTACAGGCAGCTTCGCAACCCAGCGCTCAACCGCTGCACCACCGGGGAGGCCCACCTGTATTGTTTTTGATGTCAGAAATTTACAACAAATGCTTGGTGTTAATCCACACACAACTCAGTTTTTGGTGAGAAAGTTCCTTGGCTGCAAGAAAAAACACTTGGATTACTAATAGGAGTATCTTTTTGTGCTGGGATGGCTTCTTCTCGGTATTTCTTCTGCTGTTGATTTTTAGCATAGTTATCTTTGAGTGTGTGAATGGAGTTGACTGTAGAGATACTCATGTTTACTCCAAATAAAAGTACATAACTGATTACTAGAGTAATGGGGAGTGTAAGGGCAGGAAGGCCACTGAGGTTTTCTGATCCAGCAGACGGGGTAAAGGAGAGTACTTTTGCAGGCTTTTATTGGGATTTACCAGGTACACAGCAGGCAAGGGTGCTGGGGGGCCGGGAGGCTGGCAGGCCTCCCAGCCCTCAGCAATCCTATCTGGGCTCTCCGGCCTTCTCTCGCAGTTTTGCTCTCCCGTTCGTTATTCTATACTTCTGATGGCGTCCCCGTGACGCTGCCCTTAAAAGCCCAGTCTTAGCCCAGGTGAATCCCATCTACCTATGCCCACACCCTACTCCAGGTGCCCGCCATCAGGCATGCATTCAGGACTGCAGGGTTCCGTCTTCTAATGGCGGGAGGGCAGAAAAGCCTGATACTTTCACCTTACCCTACAGGGAGTAAACTGGCAAGGCCCCTGCCCAGTATTTTTGAGCCCAAGAGCTTTAAGCCTAAGGAGTTTAGCCAAGATTCAAGAATGAAAGCCCATACAATAGAGAATGAAGCGAAATTTGGAGCTTAAGAGAAGGACAGAGCCATAAATCGCTCTTTCTGGCAATGGTAATGGTGGATTTTCTACCACTTTGCTCCTGGTTTCAATTTGAAGCTGGGTGGGGGAGACCCTTGACCTCGGGGTTTTCTGGTCAGCTCTACCATCTAAGTGCAAAGTCCCTGCACACAAGTGTCCTGACCAGTGGTGGGGGTGTGTGTGAGAGAGAAATTGCCAGGAAGACCCTGGCGACCCACCCTCCCACCCATTTTTCTTTGAATGTAACAGTCGGTATCATTGGTGATTTACTTAAAGGCTCTTGGTTTGAGACAGGTGCATATTTCATTCATAGCAGCCATGGTAAGGGTCTGCCCTGCCTCCATATTTTTCAAACAGTTCACTTCTCTAAAAGAGTTTTTTTTTTTTTAAATAGAGGCATGTTATTTATTTATTTGTTTGTTTTGTTTATACATGCACTGGGTACAGTCAGAAGCGCGGGAGGGTGAGGGAATTCACCAGGGCCAGGGCGGGGAGCAGAGCGGGCAGGGGGACCGAGGTACGCTGCTGGGGGGAGGTGCACTGCTGGGGGGAGCGGCGGGCGGCGGGGGGGGGTCTGCGCGCCATGTGGGACCCTCCTCCAGTGGCCGGGGAGCAGCCGGGGATTGAGCCGGCGCCGCGGAGGCTGCGGGCAGCTTCGCAACCCAGCGCTCAACCGCTGCGCCACCGGGGAGGCCCCTCTAAAAGAGTTTTATTCCTGCCTAATCTGCATTCCAGTTCAGCAAGTCTCAAAGTTTAGTCCCTGGATCAGAAGCATCAGCATCACCTGGGGATTGCTAGAATGGAAACAAACAAGACCTGAGTCGGGAGCTGGGGGTGGGGCCCATCAGTCTGCCTTAGTGAGTCCTCCTGGGGGTTCTGATGCATGCTAAGTTTGAGTACCATGCTCTGGAACATCCGTGAGGATTCCAGGCTCCTGCTCTTACATGACCTGCTTTATCAGAGTGCTCAACCATGACCACCCCGCCTAGTCTCCAATGTAAATGTTCTAAAAATGTTTTATTTTACCATGAAGTATTAATTCAACATCCTATACCTTGTGGGAACCACTAGTCTTAAGAATCTGAACCTGTTCTTAAAGAGGAAACCATACGCAAAGTGAAATTTTAAACAGTTTTCCCCATTCATGCCTTTAAATACTTTTTTTAAAAGATTTATTTATTTATGCATACAAGAACTGGGGTACAGGCCAGAGGTGTGGGGGATGAGAGGATTCACCAGAGACAGAGTGGGGAACAGAACAGGCAGATTGACTGAAATACACTGAGGGGAGCAACAGGTGAGACAGGAGAGGTCTGCTGCACCATGTGGTTAGCTCCCTGGCAGGGGATCAAACTCGTGCTGCAGTGGCTGTGAATAGCTTCATAGGTTGTCTTAACCCCTTACGCCACCAAGGAGACCCAACCTTTAAATACTTTTTAAAAAGGAACTTAAACTGGTCTTGCCTATACTATATAGTTCCATAAGGTCAGGGACAAAGTTTTAATCTTTTATTCCTTGTACAGGACCTCACACATAGTAGGTACTCTGTAAGTGCTGACAAGAGGAATGAAATACCACATGGCTGCTTTATGGGAAATAGCTGCCTGATGTCTACTTTCCTAAGAAAGTAAGGGAAAATGAAACAAAGCCTGGAAGAGGAAGGGTGCAAAGGATGTATAAATTGCAAATTTGTAAGTGACCTGATAGTTTGTAATCTTCTTTTGCTGCTTTTGCATTCATCTTTATTCTCAATTCTCTGGGACATTTAAGGCACTCGATAATGTACTACTTAAAGCTGTGCCTTGATTTCTGGTCTCTATTAAAGGAGTGCTCCAAATTTCACAATACTTGTTTCCTACACCCCCAACCAAACTTCAGCAATATTTCACACACTGCACCATTACTAAGGCGCACAGCACTGCTTCGCTAGTAGCATTTCCTAATTATTCCAGTGCTACATCATTTCCTTACTATATACTGACTGAGACGATCAGATACTGAGCAGGGCAGATGCTGTTCAGGGCATGATGTTAAGGTGGGAGGTATGTACTCTATTTTTTGAGGCTGCCCACCGGGTGAAGCACAGGAGGGACCTGCCGTCTCTGATGGCCAACCAGATACAACCAATGCAGCAACAGTAGCCTGTCCTTGGGCAGGTCCTGTTTGCTTCATTCACAAAAGATGAAACAACTGAAAATACAGAAAAAGTCTGAGTGGGATTAAGAAAGACAAAGGATGAGGAGAGACTAATTCTAGAGAAGGAAGAAGGAAATGTGTGGATGAGCTAGGAGAGGCTGCTGGATATCCAGAAAGGCCGTGTCACCACTGACCTCTGATTGTAGATTTCATGGCAGCAAAAACAGTTTTAAAAGGTCTACAGAGAGCAGCTGTGCAGTGTTTAGCTACTTCCTGCTGGGTATTAGTGTTAGATTCCCAGTGACTTGAAGCAAGTTAAATGAAAAGACTGACATTTGATACCAGCAAATATTTACTTGGAAGTCTATTCACGCGCAGCTTTGAGATTTATTATCTCAATCTTCACAACATCCTTGCAAGGCAGGTCAAAGAGTAATTCTTCTCAATTGTGCAAGAGAAACTGGCTAAGTAACTTGTCTAGTCACACAGTAAAGAAAATAGACCAAACCGTGTTTGGTTTCCTGATGACCATCCCAGCATCATTACCTGTCTGATAAATTGTGGAAACGTACAAAAAAAAAGGATGTAAAAAGGAAAATGCAGACTCGCTTGGTTAAGTCCAGTTCCACTGAAATCTGGAAAAGCCACCGTTCAAGAGTAGAAGTCAAGTTACTGTGGGAGCAAATTTAAATACACCAAGGTTTTGTTGGGTTTCTGGTGCTAGGCAGAACTTCCCCTTTTCCTTTCATATTTTCCTCATCCGCTTCTTGCAGCGCTGGTTGAACACAGGGGAGGAGCCTATGAGGCTATCTGTGGAGTGGGAGCCATAGCTGCTGTCTGAGTCATCAGGGCTCTGGGGGATTCCTGCTTCACTCATGCCTGACATGGGCTCCTCGAAGACGTCACTGCCCAGCACGCCGTGCCCAGAGACATTGCCCTCTTCACTCTCTTGAGGCTCCATTTTCACATGGGCCAAATTCCAAAGAGGAGAAGCATTTACCTCTGTACCTAGAAATAAAGGGAAGAATATGTAACCCGTGCCAAGCCATGGCTGGAGCAAAGTAGAATAGACACTGACTAATGGCATGTGAACTCAGTTTTCCTTCTAACCCTCTGCTTAGCTGGAGAATGTGGTGGTTATTTTTGGCTTCAAAAAGTTACCAATTGTGAGTATCTTCTTTTCTATTTCATCCACCTTTCTTTCCCCACCCAACCTGTTCCATTTCCCCCAAACCAGGGCAGATGAGAGGGTCCCGGTCTTCCTCAGCTGTTTGCTTGTCTTTCCTTCTTTTATGGGATGGTCTTTTTTTTCCACTTTTTGTCTGGGTCCCTGGTCCTCTCACAGTATGATGGTGAATGATTATCACAAATGCTGGCAGCAGTTTCCAGACTACTGAGAAGAGACATGACCCCTAAGTGTGCAACACTTTCTCTTTGGCCCTCCTGCCTCTGTTATTCTAGCAATACATACCTGTGGCTATTCCTTCTTCCATCGTGAAAGGATCTCTTTCTAGCACTTTTTAAAATGTGGCCTAGGTCTGTTCAGGCCACACAAGAGGATTTTTCTATTGGTGTCATTTGTGCACTGATGAAATGACAGCTTATATTTGTAAACAATGGAGTGTCTACACTAATTCTCAGGCTAAATGATGTGAGGATCAAATCGTCCTAGTCCCTAAGGTAATCATGGAATCTCTGGAAGAAGAGGCCAGCTGCCTCTACCAGGGTAGCTCTAGTTCAATCCCTTTTACCTCCTTTTACCTGACTCTATCAAGTAACTCTATCTCCAACTATTCAAACATCCATGAGCAATTAACACCCCTCCATCAATATGAAAGTTGTTTTAACTGAGGAATAGCACCAGGAAGACCCAATATATGATACTAAGGAGAAGCAGACATATTCCCTCCCAGCAGGGTCAGCTGAACTACCCCAGGCCCCAGCATTCATCAGAATAACATATGCTGTATCTGCAGCCTAGACTCTACCACGGTAGCTGGTAAAGCTGTGCCAGTTCTCTGTCCACTAATCACAAAGAATGGTAATATTTTTAGATCAATGAAGTTATATTTGTTTTTAGGCTTCCCACTCTCCTGCTCACCCCACTTTTGTCCTCTCCAGACCTTGATTCTACAAAAAACAAGGAGGACTGAGAATAGCAGATCTCCCAGAATGAAAGTGAGTACACTAATTTCTCTTACTGGAAGCCTGTGGTGAGGCCTCGACCTCCAAGTTGGAGGGGAAGCGCTCGCTCTGAGCCCCCAGCACTCCCATGGGCAGTGACTGGTCCCCAGCAGCAAGGTCGGCCTCCAGGTCCTCGCTGACAGGAAAGGTGATGTCGCTCACAGGTTCCTCCTTGATCTTGACAGGCTTCGTGTCCTCTGTGGCCTTCTCGGGATTGACGATCCGTTCATACTCTTCTGAGAGTTGCTTGCTAATCTATGGGCAAGCAAGAGTCAGTTTTCCAAGGAAATGTTAAAAGCAAGCTGGCTAGTTAGCCTGTGACATCCCATGGAAATGCTGACAGAATCTGAATATGAATACAGCGTCAACTGCCAAAATTAGGAAATTGCTTAAGATGCTGTGTTTGTGAGAGAGACACATAAAGAAAATCTGTTTGGTGGAGAGTGTGTCGTTAATTAGAAGCTGCATGAAGATAAATAAAGGTAAGTTAGACCAGGACAAAAGATCACATTTTTGGTTATAAAAGCTAACAACTGACGTAGGTGATAATGATAGTGAGAATGGTGAAGGACATGTGGGTCATTTAGCAAAGACTCTTTTGGTGAGTGTTAAACATTTCTAATATTTTAGATTGGGGAAACTAGAATCTGAACACATGACTTGCTCATGGCTGCAAGGGTTGAGGACACTAGATACTTCTGGCTCTAACCAAAAAAGGTAGACGGCCATCATCTCATTGTTCTGTTTTTCACAGCACTTGACACCATCTGAATATAATTTTATCGTTTACTCGTTTTTGGTTTCCTCTCAATAAGAATGTAAGCTCAAGAACTGGTCTTGTTAACTGCTGAATCTCAAGTCCCTGATTCCCAATAGCACTCAATAAACATTTGTTGAATAAACGCATGCTAACCACATTCTCTCAGAGTCCATATACCTGTCCACAATTTCTTCCAGAGGAAGTATTATCAATAATGGGACTGTTCACTGGCTAAAAGAGGCCTGTGGGGCTGACCAGGTCAGTGCTAAGGTTAATGGAACACAGTGAGGGCCATGGGGAAAGCAGGCTAAGTCCCCTCTCTTCAGAGACCCTGTGCCCTGCATGTACAGCCAGTGTCATGAGACCCTGCTGACCACCTCTAGACAGCACATCTTTACCCACATCGCAGAGGGTCACCTCACCTGTAGCATGTAGCTGTGGTAGTCCTTGATGCGGTGCTGCCAGAATTTCTGCAGGGAGAGCACACTGCCAATGCCCACTTCATGGAATACCTGCTCCATGATGTCAGGGAAAGGAGTCTGCCCCAGCTGGGCCTCCCGATCCACAGCAAAGCGCAGCAACTTGGTGAATTTAAGGCAGTACTCGTGTGTCACGTCAGTTAGGGTCTCCAGGACACTTTCATTAGCACACTCAAAGCCTGCATGGGCCAGGACTGTGGCCACTGCCTGGTAGAGGAGCTGCCGGCAGGAGTGCCAGCTGAGTTCAGTCACAGGTTCCCCTTTTCCACTGAAAGAGGAGATAGTAATGTTAGTGCTCTGGCAAAGGAGGGACTTGTCCTGTCTCCCTAGGAGTTTTACTATCTCAGTCAAACCAATGGCTCAGCTTCCAAAAAAATTCTATTCAGATTACAAAGCCCAGTTTCATTTTGCTGCTGTCAGTTACATCTCTGAGCTTCTCCAATTACACAAAGTTTAAATAGGCAGTACATGTCGCTAAGAAATGGTGTGAAATAAAATGGTATCTAGTGAAAAGGAAGTTTCCTGCTTATACACAACTGCTCAATTTTGATCACTGCTAGGATCTGATTAGTTTTAAAAGGATAACTCAAGTTTTGCTCAAGGTGCTCCAATTATTTCATCACAAAAGTTTCTTCACATGCTGGGAAAAATGGACTTTCAGAAACTCAGTCCTGATTAGGAGCTTCTTCTATAACAGACCATTTCCAAAACTGAGAAAGAAACTCAATTTTATAAAAGTAATTTAAAACACATAATGCTTACAAAGCATTTTTATCCTATCCTGTGCTGTGAAATGGGTAGGGCCCATATTCTTTTTCCTATTTGGCAGATGAGGAAATTGAGGTTCAGAGGGGCTAACTTGCCAAAGGTAGTTCAGGTATTAATGAGCGGAGCTTCTGCCCCTGGGTCCCATGGTCTTCACAGTATATACCTCCTTGTCCCTGGTCACTGCTGCAGAAGTCTTAATCTTGCTAAAAACCTGGAGAAATTGATCTCGTAAAATAATTTCTAAAAAGCTACTAATAATTTATTTATCTCCTCTAGTTCCCTATCTATCTACAGCTTTGCCCCTGACAAAGGAAGTAAATAGACAAAAATAGGACACAGAGAATGACCTTTCCTTGGTCCACACTTATCATGTATCACCAGAGGCTGGACAAGATGCTTGAGACACCACCCAGCCACTATATGATCTGCTCAGTAGCAACTACTGCAATTCATGTCATAGTTGGAAAGTTAGAAAACCAACTGCCAAGTAACTTCATTTATTATTCTCATGATCACTTTCCATGATCAGTTTCTCTGGGCCAAAAGGTGGCCTCAGAAGTGCCTAATTAACAGAGCGCTAAACCAGCATTGCTCTACTTGAGAAACATGGGTCTATTTCACAGAAAGTGAATTCTTTTAGTATCACAGCTACTATTTTGGGTGCTTTTTGGTGGTGGTTGTTATAGTTTATTAAACATGTATAAAACAAACTAGATACAAACTTTTGATGTTCATAGCTCTTCCTAGCAATTAAAATGAGCAATTTGACAAGAAAACTGTAAAATTCTAAATAATGTCATCAATTTAACGACAGCTGACAGTTTGTTAGGATTAAATTGCTCTAAAAATGCATATATAGTATTGATTGCTATGATTCAAATTTTTAAGTTATTCTGGTGTTTATACTATGCATGTACTTTTACAGTTACCCCTCTCCTCATCACTGTTCTAACACTTTAAAACCTTCAAATGATGCAGTGTACCTTGACATGGTCTTCATCTGGTCTAACTGCAAACCTTACATATTAAGCCTATTTCTGTTCTTACTAGTTGGAGACAACTAAAATATTATTATCATCAACAGGTTAGTGATATGGACTATCACTTAAGTATTCTGCCAAATATATTTAACCTGGATCTAATCTTGAAGAGATAATGAGCAAATACAAAAAAATGGGACATTTTATAAGAAAAGCACCTTGAACTCTTGAAAGATTAATATAATTTTTTTTAAAGGGGAGAAGCTGTGTTAGCTTAAAAGACACTGAAGAGGCATAACAACCAATACAATGCATGAATCCTAGGTTCTGGATTGGGAAATATATATATCTATAAAATATATTTGGGGGACAATTATAATACTGACTATGGACTTATTACTAATTACTCTTTATAGATTTATGTATAGATGTGTGTACACACGTGATAGAGTAAACGTGGCCAAAAGTTAACATCTGATGAAACAAGGTTTATTGGGGTGTTCTTATACTGCCATTTAAATGCAAAGAAAAAAATAATTATGTGGCACCAAATGCACATTTTCAGTGAAATCTGAAATCTTGTAGCAGCACAGTCACTCAGAGGATCTGGAGCTGAGTTTCTCAAAGTTAAATGTGCACACAAATCCATGTAGATCTTATTAAAATAAAGATTCTGCTTTAGCAGTTGTGGGTGAGCCCTGAAAATGCATAGCTAACAAGCCCCTAGCTGATGTTGATGCTAATGGATGAGATTTTGAGCAGCAAGGATCAAGAATGCTTTCATATGTTATCAAAATAAAAATATACAATTAAAAATTATTCAATAAAACCGGTAGATTCCTAGTAACACCTGAATAAGTTCATGAATCAATCTGAGGACAATGAACTAAACTGATAAGGGCCTCCCCGGTGGCGCAGCGGTTGAGCGCTGGGTTGCAAAGCTGCCCGCGGCCTCTGCGGCGCCGGTTCGATCCCCGGCTGCTCCCCGGCCACCGGAGGAGGGTCCCACATGGCGCGCAGAACTCTCCTGCCGCCCCACATGGCGCGCAGAACTCTCCTGCCGCCCGCTGCTCCCCTCAGCAGTGTACTTCGGTCCCTTTGCCTGCTCTGCTCCCCGCTCTGGCTCTGGTGAATTCTCTCACCCTCCCGCGCTTCTGACTGTACCCAGTGCATGTATAAAACAAAAAACAAACAAATAAATAAAGAAAGAAAGAAAACATGCCTCTATATATATAAAAAAAAAACAAAAAAAAAAAACAAACTGATAACATACATTTTAAGCTAAATAGGAAGACTTGAGGACTGAGGCCATGGACCATCCCATGTACCACTGTACTCTCTGAGTCAAGTGCATGGTACATAGTAGATATGCAAATATTTGTTGCATCAGAAAAAATAAAATAGAGACTCTGCATTTAGAAGATCAGGGTTCAAGTCTTAGAGCATCTTTGGCCAAGTCAATTATTCTTATCCTCAGTTTCCTCATGGAAATGTTATTACATTCTTAACACAGGGAAGATATTCTTGAAAAAAGTAAGACACAGCAAAGCCTTGCCTTACCGATAAAAGTCACTCTCTGGGTCACTGTGCCGAATTTGGAATGGTGCATTGGGATTCTTGCAATCGAAAGGCAGGAGATCATCAGGAAGAGGAGGTGACCCAGGACAGGAGGGAAGAGGTTCACTCTCTTCAGTCTTTACACCTTCTGTCTGCTGCTGATTCTGGGCCTGAGCAGTGGCAATGAGGCTACGCAAACGTCGGTTGTGCTGGATCAGTTGAATGGTATGGATGGTTAGGCTGCATGGCTCTGAGGGGATGTCCAACATAGTGGGGGGCTTGGACTTGCTGGCCGAGGGTTGGTGCAAGGGTGGGTCATGGACTTCCACCAGACGGAACTCCCGTGGGAGCAAGTCAAAGGAACTTCTGTTGGTCTGGCTTGATGAGATTGGTATCTCTCCCCAGTATCTCAGCATTTTAGAATAAGAAAGGAAGCGCTTTCACGTTAAATGTAGATGATAGCCTCACGTAGTATTTCTAGGTCTCTGGCAATTGTAAGTTATAAGCATCTGCAGTGAAAAATATGAAGTCTAGCTATTTATTTATATAGAAGTAGGCTGTTCAAGATCACCTAGGAAAATGTCAGAGTCAGCAACACTGTAGAGTCAAAGATGTTCTCCCTGAAGAAATTAAGAGAAACATTAACTGCTAGACATAGGTCTTCACAATCCTACTAGACTGAAACACAGGTGGCATCTGGGTTATTAGTCAACTAATAGCTGTAATAGTATCTGGGGTTATAGTGTCATGTTTTCTACCTCATCCTACTAACTCATGAAAACTATCATCATGCCCAATCTTGAACCATCTGCAAGGCAAGATATTTAAATGAGATCTGGAATATTTCCTAGACTATCCTGACATATCTGCCCTGGATCAGCAAGAAAAAGGGAATGGAGTTAAAGATAGGAAGAGATGGTTCTAATTCTGTATATGTCAGGCATAGGAAACATTTTAACTGACCCTGGTGGAAAAATTTAAGAACTACTGATCTAAATGATCAACTTCTGACACAGGAAAGAATCTGAGATTTCTGCTGTCTACTAATGGCTATTCCTTCAGTCTTTCCCCATATCTAATCTACAGCACTTTGAGAATTAACACTTTTAACTCAGGCAATGGGCCATTACAAATCAGTCAAAATTCTTACCATTTAACAAAATTCACAATCTGGCTTCAACTTACCTTTCCAGATTCATTGCCCATATGTCTTCAAGTTCAACAAACATTTACTGACTGCCAGGTACTATGTGAGGAGACAAAGAATATGTTAGATTCCTGACCTGAAGTGAGGGAGAAAAACATAAAACATTTCAACGTCATAGTGTATGGTAAGTGCTGTACCAGTGGCACAGATGTAGGGACAGGACAAAGGAGGCACTTCCTGGAGAAAATCACAACCTTAATTCTACCCATATCATACTATTCCATTTCTTAATACCCAGTTGACTCTTTTAGCTGTGATCTTTGCCAGAAATGCCTTGCCACTCCCCACGTTCCTGGCAGACTTACATTCATTTTTAACTATAGCTTAAATCACCACCCTCCAAAATCTCTCCAGCACATTTCCCTTCATTATATTTCCAACATTTTGATGGCTCTCTCAACACCACTATCCCTGGATTTAAATTAGTGCTTACCTCAATCAATTCTATTGTCCCCTCAAACCCTCACCATCATAATCTCAGTACAGTTCCTAGCACATAGTAATAGATGGCATTTATTGAGTGCCTATTATGCGCCAGGCTTTGCTGTTATTGCTTAATTCAACTCTGTCCTACGAAGTGGATACCATTATTATCTCCTTTCACAGATGTGGAAGTTGAAGCCTACTGTCTTGCCTAATGTCAGAAATGGCCAAGAGGTAAAATCAAAGCAGGCTCCCGAGTCTCCACTTTTTTATTTTTTTTATTTTTTTTTTTTAATAGAGGCATGTTTTATTTATTTATTTATTTATTATATTTGTTTGTTTGTTTTGTTTATACATGCACTGGGTACAGTCAGAAGCGCAGGAAGATGAGAGAATTCACCAGAGCCAGAGCGGGGAGCAGAACAGGCAGAAGGACCGAAGCACACTGCTGAGGGGAGCAGCGGGTGGCAGGAGAGGTCTGCGCACCATGTGGGATCCTCCTCCGGGGCCGGGGAGCAGCCGGGGATCGAACCGGCGCCACGGAGGCTGTGGGCAGCTTCGCAACCCAGCGCTCAACCGCTGCGCCACCGGGGAGGCCCCCGAGTCTCCACTTTTAACGACTACACTATGCTGTCCCAGTAACTGGTTTCGGAAAGAATAAATGCACGCACGAAATAAACCCCCGCCCCCACGCCCTCTCCCCTAACGTCACCGAAAGGAGCACGAAGAACAGGCATCAAGTCTAAGATGTCCGAGTCCCGCAGGGCGCCTCGGTTCCCGCCAGCAGGCACGGGCGCCAACCACAGGCTCCCGGGGCCGTCCGCAGCCCAGGCCGCGGCGCACGGGGCGGTCCGACCTCCGCCCAGGCAGGGAGGCGCCGCCTTTCACTGCAGCGGGGTCGGAGCGGGGCTGGATGTCCACACGGCACCGACAGGCCCAGAACGAGGAACGCGACCCGCTCGGAAGGCTAGTTTGTCCACTAGCGGCCCCAGGCTGCCGGAAGCGCTTCTTGAGCATCAGCAACGCCGCCGGAAGTCAGGAAATCCGGTTGCAACGTCTAAAGATGTCCCCGTGCTGACAGTATCCTGGCCGCCTTTTTCTGCTTCTCTCTCATCCTGACCTTTCTGTGGCGCGCGCCACTAAACAGCATCCTGGGTCTTGAGGGAGCGACTCCACCCTCGCCGGCCAGAGAAGCCGCTGGGAGCCAGGGGAGGGGAGCGTGGCGAGGAAAGTAGAGCTCGAGGGCGCGGTTTCCCCGGGGGCAGGTTTTGAGGTTGCACCCGGCTGAGGATGGCGGAGGCGAGTCCCTCTCAGTCCGAGCTGCTCGCTACGCCAGAGCCCAATGGCGACTTCAAGAAGCCAGCCCTGCCTGTGCCCGCGGTGGTGCGGGACAAGGGCGCGGCCACCAGTCCCTTGGACCCTGAGGAAGCGAAGAAGGAACGGCCCGCGGCGCTGCCGGACCCCGAGCCCGGGGAGCCTGACACCCCGGCGGCCCGGCCGGACAGCGGGGAAACTGGGGAGCCCCAAGCGGAGCAGCCGCGGCCCCCCACAGCAGCTCCTTCTGGAGGTCCGGCCCGTGCTCCCCCTTACCGAGAGCCGCCGTGGGGCGGCCCCGCCACGGCCCCCTACAGTCTAGAAACCCTAAAGAGCGGCACCATCCTTGGCACCCGCAGTTTGAAAGGGAGCAGCTGCTGCCTCTTCGGGAGGCTGTCTTGCTGCGACGTGTGTCTCGAGCATCCTTCGGTGTCCCGGTACCACGCGGTGCTGCAGCACGGGGCGCCCGAGCCGGGCGGAGAGCGCGACGGCCGCGGGGCGGGGTTCTACCTCTACGACCTGGGCAGCACCCACGGCACTTTCCTCAACAAAACCCGCATCCCACCCCGCACCTATTGTCGGGTCCACGTCGGGCATGTTCTTCGTTTTGGCGGGAGTACCCGGCTCTTTCTTCTTCAGGTAAGTGGAAAAACCTCGAACTGAAGTCTCCGAAGCGCTCCTGGCTGGGCTGCAGAGCCCCTTGAGCTTTCGCTGAGGGAGATTCTCCACATCGGCGATCGCGACCGTGGAGGCATCAGGCTTCTCACTCCAGGCCTCTGCCAGAGGTCGACCACTGCCGTATTTCTGAAAGTGACGTCCGCAGGCTTGACCTCTAAAAGAATTCTTTCGCTTCGCTCATCAGGGACCAGAGGAAGACCGAGAGGCAGAATCCGAGTTGACAGTAACTCAATTGAAGGAATTGCGGAAGCAGCAACAAATGATGCTGGAGAAGAAGATGCTTGGAGAAGATTCAGATGAAGAAGAGGGAATGGATACTACCGAAAGGAAAAGAAATGCTAGTAGTCAAGATGATGAAATGGGCTGCAACTGGGGAATGGGTAAGAAATTAAAATTACTGTCAGAGGGTAACATTTTAAAATCATTACTAATGATACCCTTAAATGGCATTTTTTTCAACCATGCAGGTTTTAGTGACTTTTTGCAAAAAATAGGACAAGCACTTTGCACATCAGGTTACCAAAATCCAGAGATTCATTTACTTTTCTGATGTTAAAAAATTGGATTTCTTGTAATGTGTTTTATAGTGCACTCCCTTGTTCAAAAATTCCTCAACATATATTAATTTACTATTTTTACCATTTAAAAATGTATTAAGTACTGATCTTGACTGTCACTGGACTACTACATTAAATCAAGTACACTATTTTGTGTTATTTAATGTATTTCCTCAATATTTTTGTATTTTGTGAAATATATATCCTGAAATGTGAAGTATCTAATCAGAGAAAGCCAGTCTGTTAGCCAAAGAATATGTGAATTTTTCATCACACCCGACATTGTGGAGGAGGGGTATTCAGAAGCTAAGAATATGAAAAGATAGACGATGGCATTAAGATGTTGTTGGAAAGACAGGATCAATAGGAAGTGTCAAACAAAAGCCAGAAATGGTAAGTATGTGAGAGTGAGGGTCCAGGGAAGGACACAATCACTGAGGACTTAGCTCTCTGCCTACATTTATAGTGTGGCTAATCCCAGTTGACTTGTGCTGTGAAAGTGAAATGCGCATTGGATTTCAAAGACTAAGCGTGGAAAAAAAAGAATGTAGAATATTCACATACCTTTTTAAAGTAATAACTCTTTTTTTGAATGATCTGGTTTTTTTTTTAAGATTTATTTATTTATACAAGAACTGGGGTACAGTCAGAGGCGTGGGAGTTTGAGAGAATTCACCAGAGACAGACCAGGGAGCAGAACAGGCAGACAGCCAGAAGACATTGCTGAGGGGAGCCTCGCATGCTACAGGAGATGTCTGCCACGACATGTGGGAATCTCCCTGGCCGGCCGGGAATTGAACCTGCACTTCAGAGGCTGTGGACAGCTTCAGAGCGCTGTGCTCAACCCACTGCGCCACCAGGGGAGGCCCAGAATATTTATATATTTTTCATTCATAATATTTTCATGTTGATTACATGACTATAATTTCAATGTTTATCTTTTTAATGTGGCTACCAGGAAATACAAGCAGTTATATATATTTTTGGTAAAACTAACTTTGATCTTTGAGACAGTTTATAAATTTATAAGCAGAAGGGTTTTTAGCTGGGACTTGAAGGAAAGGTAAAGTAGCACTTAGGAAGCTGGATAGGGCAGGGATTGATGATTTTGAGATTTAATGGAGCAATGAGTAGACTAGTCTATTTGGCAGACATGACAAGTATTAGAAAATTATATTTAAGACAAAAGTATTAGACCAGGGTATAAGAGAATGAGAAAGCCCAACTGAAGAGCTTAGGATTTTTTTCCCATAGACAGTGTGGTAATTTTGCTTTTAAAATACAGTGATGATGCATGTTCACTTGTGGAGGTGTGAAGTTGTACTCCCAAATTTGTATAGTTATGTGAATGATTTGCAGACCAATAAAATTTGAGAAAAAAATATAGTGATAAAGATTAAAAATAAGGAGGTATGAAAAAAAGTTTTAACTTGTTTGCACTTAGAAAATCTGAAGATTTTCACATTGTGGTTCATAGTATGTGGTGGTCTGATTGTTCTCCCTCACCTTTCTTTTCTTCACTGATAACTCCTTTACATAACCTCAAAAGGTAGCGAATGTCGTTCACATAATCTCTTCTTACATCTGATTATCTTTTCTTTCTTTCCTATGTCCTATAGGAGAAGATGCTGTAGAGGATGAGGCTGAAGAGAACCCCATCGTCTTAGAGTTTCAGCAGGAAAGGGAAGCCTTTTATATAAAGGATCCCAAAAAGGCTCTCCAAGGATTTTTTGACCGAGAGGGTATGTGAACAGATTCTGACTTTGTTAAATGTTTCCACAGCTGTCGTTTCCTAGATCTTCAGGTGCTTCGAAAGGCTGTGTTTTATCTGCTGTCTTCTTTGTTTTATTCTTACCCTGTGGTCAGTTCCTTCAGGTTTATCTTGAAAATAGTAATAATCTTGTTAGTCTCTTTTCCCATGTTGGAAAAAGAGAAGAGCTTTTTTCTAACTTGTCTCTTTTTTGTGGGTGGCCGGGGATGGGTGCAGTTTATTTATGAAACCATCTCGTTCTCAGAAGATCCTGGACGTGGGTGGTTGGGAGATTGAGCCAACTTCTTGTAATTCTATGTTTCTATTCACTTGATCTTTTGAAATTCTTGACATGAATTTTTACTTTGTATGTTTCTGTAGAGGATTGTTTCAGTAGAGATGCTTGTGAGAACATCTGTGTTTATATATGTATCTGCGTATGTGTATATGTATGTGGGTGTAAATATGTATATGAACAGGATGTGTTCTGCACTTAATATTTATACTTCTAAAAACCAGGTAATTGTGACAAATTTTCATCTTAAGTCTACAACATACAAAAAGTCTGAAAACTGCTATACAGTGGACAAAGCTAATTTTGGAGAGTTGATTGTTTTGATCTGAGTTTGCTTTTTGGGTGCACAAGCTCATCCTAATTTTATTATCAGATGATGATCCCTAGGAACAAGAAGTGAAATGCTTTGAGATTTGTTATTCAGTGTGGTGTAGGAGCTTGATATTGTCATCTAACCTTTGCTCTCTTTTCCCTTTATATCAACTAGTAACTTTCAGAGGCTGTGAAAAATTTTTTTTTGCCTTTCTTCCTCCCACAGGAGAAGAATTAGAATATGAATTTGATGAACAGGGGCATAGCACTTGGCTCTGTAGGGTGAGGTATGTTCCTTTTATATTCATGTCCATTTCGGAAAAGTGGCCTCTTTCAGGTTTAATTTTTGGTTATAAATAACAAGCCAAAGAAGGACTGTAGTCTTAATTTTAGGCTATTTCTGAACTGGGGTCTTTTTTTTTTTTTTTTAAACACTTTTTTTTTTTTTTTTAATAGAGGCATGTTTTTATTTATTTATTATATTTGTTTGTTTGTTTTTTTTGTTTATACATGCACTGGGTACAGTCAGAAGCGCAGGAGGGTGAGAGAATTCACCAGAGCCAGAGCAGGGAGCAGAGCAGGCAGAAGGACTGAAGTACACTGCTGAGGGGAGCAGCGGGTGGCAGGAGAGGTCTGCGCACCATGTGGGATCCTCCTCCGGTGGCTGGGGAGCAGCCAGGGATTGAACTGGCGCCGCAGAGGCCGCGGGCAGCTTTGCAACCCAGCGCTCAACCGCTGCGCCACCGGGGAGGCCCATGAACTGGGGTCTTGATACATTAGTAACATCTATATTATTGGGGAGTGGGATGGGATGGGTAAGAAGTGGAAGGGCTTCCCTGGTGGCGCAAAGGATTAAGCACTGCACTATGTAGCAATCCACAGCCTCTGCAGCGTGAGTTCGATTCCCAGCTGGCCAGGAAGAAACTCACATGGCGAGGCAGACCTCTCCTGTCTTGCCCGCTGTTCCCCTTAGCAGTGTGTTTCAGTCAGTCTGCCTATTGTGTTCCCCACTCTGTCTCTGGTGGATCCTCTCTCACCCCCCACATCTCTGGCCTGTACCCCAGCTCTTGTATGTCTAAATAAATATATCTTAAAAAAA